TTTGTTTAGTTTTTCTTCCCCTTACCGGTTTGATTTGTTTTCTTTTTCCTCCTCCTCTTTCTTTTTTGATTTTGGAGAAGGGGATTGGATGGAATATGGTTGAGAGTTAGGAGGGTAGGGAGAAGCTGGGGCAGTTGGAGGAGGAGAACATTTGATGAAAACATACTGTGTGCCTGCCCAGCCACCCACAAGCTGCAGAGCTCTCCAGGGTGCGGCTTCCTTTAGCTGCCAAGTGTGTCAGGATGAGCTTCTCGGTTATACAGTTGCTTTAGAGTCATCTCTGCTCCTGTAGGTAACACCACACCCATTCTCCTGTTAGTAACCCCAATAGAAGTCACTTGGCCACCAAGAGAGCTTTGGTCTACCATGATGCCTATGGTCTCATCTTCTATTACTTTTTCATGCCACATGTACTTCAAAGCCTATTCTCAAACATGCTACATACACAGATAGCCCCAGCTCTTTATACACAAGGTTTCCCTTTTTGAGGCTATTCTTCATGGCCATGGTTTGCCCAACTCTCATTCAGGTCTCTGGTCGATGTTATTTACCACAGGGCTTTTCCTGTTTAACTAGCACTGTTCTCATGTACTAGTTTACTGGTCTTTGTGTCCTTTATGGTTTCATTTTAGTGCTCAGATTTCAGTATCCTATGCTGAACACCTTCACAAAACTTTAGCACACGGTAGGTACTCCAAAAGTTTTATGGAATGAATGAATCTTGAAATTTCCCTCCACTGCCCTGATTCTCTTCCTTGTTGGACTCTTCTTCCATCTTTCTAAAATGCTCTCTAGATTTTCCTAAGAATCTTCATCTCAAGGATTATATAGAAAGTAGAACTTTGAGGCCTTGCATGTCCAACCCAACTGACTACATGACTGCACACACAATCCAAGTACAACTTTGTACACTCGAGTTCTGACACCATCACTGGAGCCTTGTGTCGCGAGGTCTACTGCATGTTGACCTTGTTCTACATGTGACCTGCTGCCTGTTTGGGGGAAATTAACTATGTTCTCCATCCAAGGCTGAAATTCTTGCCTTAGCAGTAGCAGCTGCTGCTTCTTCTCCTCCTCCTCCTTCTTCCTCCTTTTTTTCTTCCTCCCCCTTCTTCTTTCTCTTCCTCCTCCTACCCTCACCCCATTCTGCCTTCTAAGGACTGTGTAGTGCTTTAGGAATTTAAAAATTGCTCCTTAAAATCCCCATTCTCCCAAACAACCTTTTTCTGATGAGCCTCGTGGATTAATCTCAAATTTTTTTTTTTTTTTGTTCTGAGAGATCTCTTTAAGTAGGAAAAAAACCAACCTCATACCAGGTTTAGAAATGACCTTTAGAATTGAGGGTGTGGTCTTACACTTATAACCCCAATACTAATAAGGCTAATGCAAGAAGACCACTGACAGCTCAAGACTATATAGTGAGCTATGAGTTCCAGGCCAGCCTGGGCTACAGAGTGAGACCCCATCTCAAAATCAAAACAGCTTTAGCAAAGAAGATCACAACTGTCTTGCTAACTGGCTAAGTTAATTAACTCTAGTAATAGTGACAGAATTACTAAGATACTTCCTGATAGACATTACTCTATCAACTGAGGGTATGAACACTACAGCACCCATGAATCAAATTTCTCCATGACACAATACTCCACCATAAATACGTAATGAGTACATAGTAATTACTACAACCAATATATAAAATAAAATTGTTTTCCAGAGCCTCAAAAGAATATGAAAATGCTATGGTTAAAAACAATCTGAAAGGCTGTGGAGTGGAGATGGCTCAGTGTGGGGAGATGCTGGGAGCACAAATATAATGACCTGCTTTTGATCCCCAGGATCCACACAAAGGTGGGAGAGAACAAACTCCACGCCCATGTACAAATGATGCTGCACACACCCTCGCCTTTACAAATCATACACATACACACAATAATTGCAACTTTTTAAATTAAAAACAGTTTAAAGGTTTTGGCTTCTCTCAGCAATCCTTCAAGAAACTCAGCATCACCATAACTTGGATATATGCAGATTAACAGAGTATACAGATTAGCCTATCTCCTGCTGTTATTTTTTTTGTGAATTTACCATTGTTGTGCCTCCAACCTTCCCCTTTACAATGAAGCGTGTGGCTAATCAAAGCACCGCCATTCACACTTTAGATTGCTGGGTTTTCTTGATTTAGTAATGTACAGGAAGTCTGTGATCTCAGTTATAACACTTAACAAGGCCAACAAGTATTTAGAAATTAGAATTTTCTACTCTGATATTTTACCTTCCAACTCTTGTATTGAATTATTTCAGTAGTTCCTCAGTTTCTAGGCCCTCTTTTATTACATACTATTCAATTGTATTTTTTAATAAACACATTCTTCCTGAAAATATTCAACAGTCTTTTTCCTTTGTGTTCAATGCTTTTCCTTCCATTTTTCATTTAGCAGACTGTATCCATTGTCTGGTGAGAAATGATTCTTATGGGCAGGGTTTTTTTTTTTTAGGCTGGCGGTGTTCAATGAAATAATTAGCAATACTTATCATTGGAGCTATTTAACTACTCGTATGTGGTGACCAAACACTGATACATCATCCTTCCATAACACGGAAGACATCGGCTTTCCTAATGTACCTACTGTACCTGTGACCATTTGAGAGATTCTGAGGAAGCCAGCTGCTGTCACGGGATGAAGAGAATCAGAGACGTGGTGGCATATGAATGGAACTGAGAAGAAGCAAGAACCTAGGGTTCTGGATGGAAAATGAAATTTTTTCATGAAATAAAATATGATTATTAAAGACAGACATGGAACAGAGACCAAATTAACATGGTCTCTAGGAAAAGACCAAGTGAGTGAAGTCCTTTTATTATGTCATTAAGGCTTCCCAATGGGCTGAGAAGGCCCTGTCACTAAGCCTGGCTGTGTGGGAAGAGTGAGTAAAAGGCTTCCCAAGCTGAAGCCTTGCAGGTCTGTACAGTCAGGCCTGGGCACTCAGCAGCTCTCGTGTCTCTTTCTCTAATCCTTCCCTGCTGAAGTCTTCTGGACTTACTCCCCCATAACTTCACCTTTAGAGAAGCCCCCAATTCCTTTATGACACGTGTTTAAAAATTAGACTAACATAGCTGGGCGGTGATGGCGCACACCTTTAATCCCAGCACTTGGGAGGCAGAGGCAGGCGGATCTTTGTGAGTTTGAGACCAGCCTGGACTACAAGAGCTAGTTCCAGGACAGGCTTCAAAGCTACAGAGAAACCCTGTCTCGAAAAACAAAACAAAACAACAACAACAACAAATTAGACTAATACTTTAAGTGCGGTCTGCTTTTCTAAGCAAATCCCACCTAAAATAGCTGGCTCCCCGAAGAGTCTAAGGTAAGATTGAATTTGCAACTCTATTGACTTCAGGATCCTAGGTGGTGAAACTGAAAGAAAGAAAAGAGACTAGCAAGGAGGGGAACCCAAGGCAAACTGACAAATCGCTGGACAGCATCGCTGTTGTGGTATGGAGTCCGCGAAGAGACAGTATCAGTCTCTTGGCAAGTCTTCCTGTCCAACTAATCTTGTCATCATGTCAGGATGAGCAGGCTGAGAGCCTGGATACAATACAATCTGCTGAAGGGAGCGGAGTGTACCAGACACTTCTAGACACTAATCTAGTTAGTACCACTAACACTGCACATTACATCCCAAAGCCCTTTCGGCAGCCACAGGGAATCCCGCAAGCCTACTGGTATTGTCAGTGTGTAAGATGGGAACTAAGACAAAGTCATTCGTCAGGAGCTTAAGAAATAATGGGCTAAAACTCCTCCTGGATGTTCAAGATGTATGTGTTACTGTATCCAAAGATGGGCTGTCTACTGGCACAAAAAATGCCATAAAACAGTTAAATACCAGTGCAGTAAGGCACTCCCTGCGCACATGTCAGATGGGTGGCTGCATGTCACGTGACCTACACAGGGGTTCAGGGACAGGAAAAGGGCAACCTTGCACCCTCCAGCAGGTGAGCAGAGTCTTGTACATTTATATGTCAACAGCCAAACCACAAAAATAGCAATACAGCCAGCTTGGAGATGTTTATGGCTCAGATTCAGAGCGAGAGGTATTTAGAGCAACAAGAGCAGGGCTGAAGGGCCCTTATACAGGAAGAACAGCTTAAGGCCATTCTTAGAGTTTATCACACCAAAGAGAAACAAGGCAAGTACAGCCAGCTCATTATTCCTACAGGTATCCTCTGCTGTCGGGCTAAGCAATACTCTCATCTGAGGCATGTGCGTTACTCCTGCTGTGAGATGGCAAATGAGTGGTAAGATCATTCTCTCCTCTCTTTTCTTCAACCTGGTAACTGTAGAACTGCGGAAATGACAATACACTTAGCATACACCCGGCTCCGCCCTGCCCCAATCTAGACTTTGCCCTACTTAAATCAATTCAAGCTTACCTTTATTTCTTTTCTTTTGTTTGTTTGTTTGTTTGTTTGTTTTTCAAGACAGGGTTTCTCTGTGGTTTTGGAGCCTGTCCTGGAACTAGCTCTGTAGACCAGGCTGGTCTCGAACTCACAGAGATCCGCCTGCCTCTGCCTCCCGAGTGCTGGGATTAAAGGCGTGCGCCACCACCGCTCGGCTTACCTTTATTTCTAAAGGCATGTTTCAAACATGAAGAAATTTACTTTAACCCCATATTGCTCACTTTTGAAAAATAAATTCCATCTTGTATGGCTTCCCTAGCACGCCAAAACAGACCTGTTTCTGTTGGGCCATGTGCTCTTAGCCCTGGGTCACCTGACTCTCCAAGCAGGTCATATGCACATGCCTCCTGCAAGACCACATGATGCCTAGAGCAGAGGCCAGGCAGAGGGAGGAAGTGTGGGCTTACAGAGACAGCACAACACACCACCTCTGCCAATCTGTCATAAACTCTAGCAAATTATGTTTCACTTTTTTTGTTTTGCCAAAAGATTCTGACTTTGTTTAAATCCAGAGGTGAGGGCGAATATAAGTGAAAAGAGAAGACAATCTCTAATCATATATAATGTCAATCACATAAATGTAACAAAACATTAAAATATACAATACAACTGATATATGCCCAAACTGAACAAACAGCTTCTGAACTCTATCTTTCAATCAGGACCATCTCTTTAAAATTACCAAAATTCAAATTTTCCTTTAAAAAAATATGGTAAAAGGAACAAAATTGAAATTTCCCCAAGTCCGATCACAGGCACTGAGCATGATGAACTCCCCAGAGAAAACAGGCTCAGCTGCAGCTTGTGAACATCAGACAGCCACATGACAAGCGGAGTGTGCAGAACTAATGGATGAGCTTTGGTTTTGTCTTCTCTCCAGAGTCCTTGGCGTTCTTTATCAAGCGGTACATAAAAGAGTAGAAGAATAAAAGATTGTCATATTGTCCTTTGTATTTCTCTTTCAGCATGTCACTATGGTAGTCTACCAGGAAGTAATAAATGGCTTCAATTGTGGAAAGGAAAGTATCCGGTTTCCCTTTTTGATGGCGCCAAAAGCAAGTTTTTCTTGTTTTCAGTTCAACTTGTAATAACTCTGCCAAACAAACAAAGAAGAGAACATGTGAATACTTCTCAATCGCATTACTATTGAGAACAACAATAACAACTGGTGCAATAATATGCATTGATACACAATGATGATTTCATTACTTCAAGGGTTTTTAAAGCACAGATAAGTTCCTTCTATTCCAATTCTAACAGGGTATTATTATAAATGTACAGAGGAACATAGAGAAACAACGTTGCACAGAATGGAACCGTGTATATCCCCACTGTCCCTGGTTCTCAGACCTGGTAAACACATTGAAAAGTCAACAATCAAGAGAGTCTTACTAAGGGTTTCTATCCTGCTAGCTTCTACCCAAAGTTCCTTTTCAAATTTTGACTCGTTGACAGAACCTCATTATCCATTCACAAAAAAGATTTAATTTATCTGATAATGCAATTTTTTTTCTAAAACAGTTCCTATTTTTATTCACTCTCTCTTTTTTTTTTCCTTTATATTTTGGTATAGGTTCTACCTGGGGAAGAGGAGGGAGAGAAATACTGAAGGAGGGATGATGTGGGAGTCTCCTCTGTATGCTGTGAATATGTTCTATTATCATTGGTTAATAAAAAAGCTGCTTTGTCCTATGGCAGGGCAGAATATAGGTACGCAGAAAAACTAAACTGAATGCAGGGAAAAAGGCAGGGTTAGGAAGACACCATGTAGCTACCAAAGGAGACATCAGAACCTTACTGTAGGCCACAGCCTTGTGGCGACACACAGATTAACAGAAACAAGTTAATTTAAGATGTAAGAGTTAGCTAGGAATATACCTGAGCCATCGGCCAAACAGTGCTGTAATTAAGACAGTTTTTGTGTGATTATTCAGGTCTAGGTGGCTGGGAAACAAAGTGTAGTCTCCAATTTCAGAAATGGTGCCCAATGTTTGGCAACATACATCCACATAAAGCCTAAGAAAGCTTAACAAAGGGCTTCTAGACCCACAAAAACAGGAGTCAATTGCAGCTTCTTGGTAGTCGCATTTTTTCAGATAGGCTCTGTTTGCTGGCGGCTAGCAGAGGTGCTGCTCCTTTAAGAGATGGCTTCCTGGTTCTACTGGCAGCATGACTGGCTCTGGCTCTTTCCGGAGGTTCTGCTACAGAGCACTTAAATGGAGTTTCTGAGCTGCATGTGGCAAGTCGCTTAATAGACCTGCTATGTCCTGAGCTGGGGCAATGAACATGGTTGGCAGAGCTGGTGGGCAGTAAACACACCTCCAGTATATTGAAAGGCTGAGAGAGGTGGAGCCAGCAGCCAGGGCTGCAGTAACCACACTGCTTACCATTTTTTTTAAAAAAAAAAAATGCTCCTTGTCAGAAAAGGATTTCAGATATGCAATAAGACAGATTCAGACATTAAAGACCTCGAAACAAGACATAATGTGTTTTAAAAAAACGTACATAGGCTTAAGAAAAAAAGAAAATAGGTATAAGTAGTTATAGAAAACTAGCTTTAAAAAATAAATTCTTTAAAGAAACAGTAAAAATTGGGTTGATTAGCCTTTTATGGTCTAGTTTCTTGAGTTCTTTATTTTGGAGATCAGACCATTGTCAGTTGCGGGGTTGGTGAAGATCTTCTCCCAGTCAGTGGGTTGCCTTTTTGTCTTAGAGACAGTGTCCTTTGCTTAATAGAAGCTTCTCAGTCTCAGGAGGTCCCATTTATTCGATGAGGTCCTTAATGTCTGTGCTGCTGGGGTTATACGTAAGAAGTGGTCTCTTGTGCCCATGTGTTGTAGAGTACTTCCCACTTTCTCTTCTATCAGGTTCAGTGTGTTTGGACTGATATTGAGGTCTTTAATCCATTTGGACTTGAGTTTTGTGCATGGTGATAGATATGGATCTATTTTCATTCTTCTACAGATTGATATCCAGTTTTGCCAGCACAATTTGTTGAAGATGCTCTCTTTTTTATTAACCTTCATCAGGTGATGAAAGGAGACAGAGACAGAGACCCACAGTGGAGCACCGGACTGAAATCCCAAGGTCCAAATCAGGAGCAGAAGGAAAGAGAGCACGAGCAAGGAACTCAGGACCGCAAGGGGTACACCCACACACTGAGACAATGGGGATGTTCTATCGGGAACTCACCAAGGCCAGCTGGCCCGGGTCTGAAAAAGCATAGGATAAAACCAGACTTGCTGAACATAGCGGACAATGAGGACTACTAAGAACTCAAGATCATTGGCACTGGGTTTTCGATCCTACTGCACATACTGGCTTTGTGGGAGCCTAGGCAGTTTGGATGCTCACCTTACTAGACCTGGATGGAGGTGGGTGGTCCTTGGACTTCCCACAGGGCAGGGAACCCTGATTGTTCTTCAGGCTGACAAGGGAGGGGGACTTGGTTGGGGGAGGGGGAGGGAAATGGGAGGCAGTGGCAAGGAGGAGGCAGAAATCTTTAATAAATAAATAAATAGAGAGACAGTAAAAATAATATATAACAAAAAAGCTACATAAAATGAAAATACACAAAGAACTTGGATTATGCATATTATTGTGTTTTCTTTGAATTTTATGACTGCAGAGACATTTGATTCGGGGGCCTGCTACGCTAAATCAATATATATATATATATATATATATATATATATATATATATTTTATATATATTTCTTAAAGGCATCTTGACTTCAAACTTTAAGTCTAAGGACATGTCACTTTGGAAAAGAGGCTCTGCTTTTCTTTCTACAGAGGATAGAAAGCTATGGATTCCTTCCAGGCTAATGTGGTTTGATGGAACAAAATCCCTTGAAAGGTCTCCATAAACCCTAAAAACACTTTGCCCAACAAACAATAGAAAGGAGTTTGGAGAAAACAATGACAAATTCCCAAAATGATCATTTATAAATGTTTGTTTTCATTTAAAGAGAGTTGCTTATAAATGGGTAATAGTCATAATCAAGGTCTTATTAAAGAAAAAAAGGGGTATATGATAAAGAAATGAATACTTGGGGCTGGAGAGATGACTCAGTGATTAAGAGCACTGGCTATTCTTTTAGAGGTCCTCAGTTCAATTCCCAGCAGCCACATGGTGGCTCACAACCATCTATAATGAGGTCTGATGCCCTCTTCTAGCCTGCAGGCATACATGTAGACAGAATACTGTATACATAATAAATAAAATCTTTAAAAAAATGAATACTTTACATTGGTATAGACTTTATTGATACAAATTTAAGGTCAATTTTGTTATATGTATATTTCTAGTCTTGTTTAAGGAATTGTGTTTATATATCTCATTTAAAATGTAATGTATATAGCTAAAATTATGAATTAACAGTCATCTATAATAATCAAACTTGTAGTTAAGTTTTCTAGATGTGCAGAGATATATTTCAGATGGAGAGGTATTCTTCAAACCTTTCAAAGATCTACAGAATATAGCATTTAAAATATTTTAAGAAGTTAGACTTTTCTTAACCATGAGACATGTCTGCTTCTGGCAGCACCAGTTACTTCAGAGAGATCGATAGGCACTGAAGAAACACGTTAAGGAATTTGCCTTCAATATGACAAGGCTAGCTATTTGAGCAAGAAATTGCTCTTGCCTGGACTTCTTGATGGTATGTTGTATGAAGTGGACATGCAGGACCCACATAAAAGTGACTGCTGAACTTTCCAAAAGATGGGATGGTCCTTCAGAGTTCCTGCTTCACAGAAAAAAACTGCCAGACATTCTTCAGGACACACACAAAAAAGTGACTGACAAATTGCCAATATAGGCAAAACAGTCTTTCAAATTTCCTGCTTTATGGAAAAGTCTGCGAGATACTATGGGCCTGTAGATCAAAGATGGGTGTTCCAACATTACAGTAGAACTTTGGGTGACTGTCCAGGCAGGGAGATGTCTCTGTCAATTCTAGAACTTTGGAAGTTGCTTACAACACACTTCCTGTTTACCTAGGTAATATTATATCCTTTGGGGGTCTTTGATTGTTGAAGACAGATAGCTATAGCTATAGTTTTCCTTGGTTAGGATAAAAGATAGGAATCTTTAGACTCACAATGAAATATTTTAACCCCAATTCTTGCTTGATATATGTTTTTTTATATGCAATTTTACTATGTTAAAGTTAGAAACCTTCCTTTTTATTTAAGCAGAAAGGGAGAGATGATGCAGGAGTCCCCTCTGTATGCTGAGAATATGTTTTATTACCAGTGGTTAATAAAGAAGTTACTTTGGTCTTTGGCAGGGCAGAATATAGCAAGGTGGGAAATCCAAGCAGAGATAGAGAAGGAAAGAAAGTGGTATCAGGAAGACACTATATAGCTGCTGAAGAAGACGCCAGAACCTTACCAGTAAGTCACAGACTTGTGGTGATACACAAATTAGTAGAAATAGGTTAATTTAAGATGTAAGAGCTAGCTAGAAATACACCTGAGCCACCGGCCAAAAGCTTTTGTATGATTCTTTGGGACTGAATGGCCCCAGGACCGGACAGGACAGACATCTCTGTTTACTGACAGAGGAAGGTAACATAGCAGCAAGGAGGTCTGGATAAGTTATTAGGAATCATACTGTTAACTATATACCTAAAATAAAAATTTCTCATCTTGGCTGACAATGCTCCGTCCAAGAACCAAAGATTAAAAAAAAAAAAAAATCAGGTTCAATGTGCTTGGACTGATATTGAGGTCTTTGATCCATTTGGACTTGAGTTTTGTACATGGAGATAGATATGGGTCAATTTTCATTCTTCTACAGGTTGACATCCAGTTGTGCCAGCACCATTTGTTGAAGATGCTTTCTTTCTTCCATTGTATACTTTTAGTTCCTTTATCGAAAATGAGGTGTTCATAGGTTTGTGGGTTAAAATCTGGGTCTTCTATACGATTCCATTGGTCGACTTCTCTGTTTTTATACCAATACCAAGCTGTTTTCAATACTGTAGCTCTGTAGTAGAGTTTGAAGTCAGGGATGGTAATGCCTCCAGAAGTTCCTTTATTATATAAGACTGTTTTGGTTATCCTGGGTTTTTTGTTTTTCCA